GTCTCTGTCTGCGCAGTCCCTAGCGGCGCCGGCTGTAGCTCCCATCACAGTGGGACGGGTGAGGTGGCGGTAGCGCGACTCAGTAGTGAAAAGAACTGTCTACAGATGGCACTGTGCCCGGTTTACCTGCGACGTACCGTTTACCCGCTAGGGGCGTTCAAAGTCGCAGGGGACAATCACTGTACCCCGGACAATCACTGTATCCTCTACCCTAAGTGAAAAATTCACACGCTTGTAGGTGTACGACAAGATATTCACAAACCTGTAGGTGCGAGCAAATAAAATTTCGTACACAATAATTTCTAAAGTAAGCAAGCGGGAAAAAAGTCTGCCTCACCCGTATTTCACAGAAGCCCTGCGCAGCTGATGAAAGCTACTTAAACGGATTGAAGAGGACTTCGTTGTTGGACTAAGGGTGTCGGCGTAGAATGGCGCGTCCCCTGATACGACTGCCTGCATCTCGCTTCGCTTCCATGGCTCAGTCGATAGAGCGCCCGCCCAGAGCGTCGGAGGTCGACGGTTCGACTCCAGGGCCGACCTGAAGTTCAAGTAGAATTGGAACACGGCTCACCTCCGTTGGCTGGGTAGCTCTGGTGGCAGGGTTGCTGTAACTGTCATATTGGCTCGGCACTCGGTGTTGTGGGTTCGAATCCCGCGTACACCTTATGGTAGGGCCTCTGAATCTGGGTTTCAATCTTGCTCACCTTGCGTCATCCGTAAGACCAACAACCAAGTCCTCTTCAATCCGTTTAGGTAGCTCTCATTAGCTGCGCGGGGTTCGTGTGAAATACGCGTGAGGAAGACTTTTTTCCCCGCTTGATTAATTCAAGAATAATGTGTAAATGGAGACCTTTCCAAGTGTACGAATTTTTATTTGCTCGCACCTACAAGTGTGTGAATATCTTGTCGCACACCTACAGGTGTATGAATATTTTGTCGCTCACCTACAAGCGTGTGAATTTTTTCACACACCTGCAGGTGTGCGACATTCGTACACTTGGATTTCCAGTGTGTTCACAGAATGTTCTGACGTGAGTTTAAGTGCTGAGGTGTTGATTAAGCATTTCCAACTTAGTGGCAGACAGAGATGGTCAAGGGTCTGTTCAATCAACGAAAGGCAGAAAAAGAATTCCTGGACAAGCTCGAGATCGGTGGTAAGACCCTCAGCGCTATGGTGAACAACATTACTAAGGCTTTCACAAGTCTAGAAACGGCCAGACAACAGAAAGGGTCCCAACTCATCAAGGAGCATTTTGAAAACGAAGTCAAGCAGTTAAAAAAGTCACAGGTAAAAAGGGGGAGGGGCATCAGTGATGTATTATTATTTTGTTACTTTAAAATTATCTCTGTTATATTTTTCGTAGGCTAAAGTTCTTTCGGATCTAAAGAGTTTCTTGACCCCCAAGCCAAATGACTCTGCGCCGGTCAAGTCCCTGAAGTCCCAGGTTCAGGCAATAATTGGTAGCAATTTTGAGCAAGAAATCCAAGAAGAAAACGCATTATTTAAAAAGCAAATCAGTCAAATCCAACAAGAGCACAGCAAACAGGTCGTTCACGTCAAGTATGTAGAATGATGCTCATACAACCCTCTGAGCTGCATGAGCTCAAGGGAGTGCTGTCGGGAAGCAGACAGCAAACAGGAGACAGCAGGTAGTAAATACCGTCGATTTTACCAATTTTCATTAATATTTTAGCATGAAACCTCTTGTATGTCTCACTGATATTTATTTTCTGAACTTTAAAAGGTAAAAGATGTTCTAAAATCGGGTGAAATCGGGAGGTGATGTCGGAGCTGTCGGAACAGCACGACGGCGAACAGCATCTCCCGATTGCAACTAACAGATTTGTATACACATTTCTAGTTTTAAAGTTCAGAAAATAATATTTGAATAATAAAAATACGTATAGTTGTGAAATCATCGGTATTTACAGTCTGCTGTCTGCTTCCCGACAGCACTCCACACTTGATGAAGCCCTGATACTCAAATGGAATTATGGAGAATCGTAGATTCTTTGTATCTCATCTTATAAGGGTAAATAATCACAAAATCTTTTAACGACAGTTCTCTGTTTTGCAGAAATCTATTTGCTCTGATCAACGGCTGGAAAAATACTTTCCGTACTGGCCTTAAAAAGGCTCAGGCGCACCTGGAAGAGATTGCTGAAAGTTGGGATATGCTGTAGTGTCATACTATTGTACATACAAACGTGAAGAAAACGGTTTCTTACGCATTTTCAATTATTTATTATCATTCTTTTAAATCTTCTTCTCTTAGCACGATACAAAACATTCCAGCGTACACAATTCTTATGATACTGTTACAAAATATATTTCATTTCCGAAAATTCAGGAAAAAATGTTCAAAGCGGCACAACAAAGTGAATTCAAACGACAACGATCGAATATCAGATAAGGGAGCAATACGAGTGCTGTTACAAAAGTCGACAGTTTCCTAAAATCGTTGGCTGGACTACCACTCCTGCCAGTCTTTAGAGTTTGAGACTAAGAAAACATGGGTCGTCTTAACATTGCACCGCATTAGAAATTATGAATGTGTCAAGAGGTGACAGAACTACACTTTCCAAGATCAAAAACACAATTTTTAAATTTAACATTCACCTTGTGTTGACATTGAAACACGTGTTTTAGTAAACAAACAACATCATTGCAAAAGGAACACCCGGTTATTTTTTAAATTGTATTTGCTCGTGTCGTAAATCCAACGTAATACTTTCAAAGTTCTGGTTAAACGCACGTGTGTTTCATCTACTAGTGGAAAGACACTTCTTAATGTAACGACTGCTCACTTTTAGTATCCCTACAAAAGAAGACAACAGTTGTTGTACTACAAGTTACTTGAAAGCATAAGCTTACAGTTCTACTTCAGAAGTCTGCCCCATTGACAAGTCCACTGCCAGTTGTTTACAGCAGTGGTCGACAACGGAGAAGAACTTTCCAATTATTTGTCTAGCCACACACATAGTTTTATATACAATTGACGACGACAGAGACTGAATCAATGTCTAAAAACATAACAAACACAATTAAGATGATCATCACATTGCTTATGTTTCCACAAGAAATGTTTAGCCCAGAAAGAAATTTCAACTTGACTAAACGGTGATTTGGGATCGACATGCACATACCCAGGTAGCAGAGATGCATAAAATGTGCAGTTTGTGTCCAATCTAAAAAGCGTCTAAAACGCTGTAGGCGCCTAATATGCGTGAATATGCGCCTGTAATGCGCCTTTCAGATAAGACTTATAATACGGTTCGAATGCAGTTTGCTTCATTTTGCTAACTGGGTAATAGATATGCGAACCAAATGCCAGCGATTCGACATAGGTGAATTCTCTGTCGCTGGGAAGGCAATCGAAATAGATGGTTAGTTAATTTTTTCCTACAAATCTAAATTTGAGCATTAAGAATGTTTGTTGACCACGTTTACTTTCATTCCCTTTTGTGCGTGAAATCGATTCTATAAGTACTTAATCTGGGAGGGTACATTTCTATGGACACGCCAAGGCATGCGGTGAGCTAATAAATTATATAGTTTCGACTATTTGACTATTTACTTTTAGTTTCAGCTACAAAAGAATGTCAGAAAAAGTACACGGGTAATAAAATGGAATTCCAAGTACGGAAGCCAAAGGAAACACCTCAAATTTGACATAATTTTTCTTCCTGTATGGCATCATACATGTTTGGAACTCGAAAGAAAGAAGATATGTAAGCGGGCAGCGGAAGAAACAAGGCAGGATAACAATGAGCAGCTTGTCCAGAGTGGCGAGTGGCGGAGCGTAAGTGGTAAACAGAACAGAACACAAGTGCCTGCACGCAGCACTGATTCACAATCACTGACTTCGTCTTGCAGTATTTTCATTCTATACTGGTTAATATTTAGTTATCGGTCAAAGATGAAACCTATATTAAGGATTACTCACTGCGTGTTTGCTCAAGCGTTTGGATGGAGCTACCAGCTTAACTATCCACGCCTCGCTCCAGCGATCAAGTGGTTCATTTTGAAATCCAAAATTAAGTAGGCAAAAGAAACGTCATCGGCACTGGCTAGGCTAATCATTTCGATGGCAAAGCCGTATCAGAGCTGTTCCAAACTGAGAATTCAGAGAAAAGTAACACGCCAACTGAATTCACAAAATGCTTTGCAAACGACTTCTCAATCGAGTTATCAGTGAAACTCTGCGTCGATTACTGATTCACCACAAGAAGGAAGGGATACGAGACGAGATTTTATTTACATGTATCAAAAGTGGAAACGCTATTCTAGAAAAAGGCATACCCATTCTTAATATATCAAGAATATATAATTGACTGGCAGCTCTACTCGAAACACAATTTGTTCCGATGGAAAGAAGCGCTCTGAGTGACGCCCTACTGGAGGCCTGCGGGCAGCTGCCCGCAGCTGCCCCAGGCTTCCGCTGCAAGCTGCACACCGACACGCACACACAACGCAAGCAGCTTCTCCGTCTTTTGAAAAAGAAGTTAAGTGGTCACCAGAAGATATGAGCAAAGACGCACCACAGACTACAGACTTACGAGCTGGTTAGAAGTATTAACATACAACGGTAAAAACTAATCTTGACAGTGTCTGCGGAAAGAGCGTCGGGGAAAGAGGTGTTGAGCCTCGGGGGCAAAGAGGTCACCTTTACAGGTCAAGTCAAAAAATCAATGAATCTGTGCAAGGATTTCCTCAACCGTTTCTGCAAGGGGTACAGTGCTAAGTTAAAACGGTAAACTTCCTAACTGTAATTTCAGGACGAATGACAAGAAAAGCTTCACTTTTCTCTTCCCAATAAGGAGGGTTAGACTGGACAAGTATAGATAACAAACCCCGTTCCAATTCTCGATCAGTCATTCACAAGCTACAGTGATTTGCTGCAATAGGACAGCCTAAAGTTAATCTAATGTAGCTCGCCTAAGAAATGTTCAACTGAGATGCGTCTTCGTGGAAGAGGCCATCAAGTGCTCGACACTGGGCCTGAAATATACTTCTTTACAGAAACACAGAAAGAAAAAAAATAGATGATATGAATAATTTAAGTTATAAATAGTAAGACACAGCCATTAATCGAAACATTCGTCTTTTCTCACGAAGGTGCATATACTTATATTTTGAGCATAGAGTCCTACAAAGGTAGGCGACATCGACGAAAGCACTTCACACAAGAAATTATCTACACACTCTAAAGTTTTAAGCGTTTACGATACCTGACGTTTGACTAATGTCGAGAAGTGTTTTCCGTTATAGAGTACACGGTACACGCAATTGTTAGAACTATCCGCAAAAAAATATTACAATGTCAGTTGTCAGTACCACACAAGGAGTGACGTGCACCAAGAACCATTGCAAGCTATAATGCTACGACAAACTGCCTTAGACATCTATCACACACGTATTTACAGGATTACTGTCAATGGGTATCACTTTGATATGAAAAAGCTGTTTTTGAAGTTCAATGAAAAATCAAATAATGATATTAAAGAAAATAATAGTTCAATCTCAACACAACAAAAAAATACCAGGGAAAATATATTAGTCTGGATTTTCTACTTTCACAAAAATACAGTTGCTCGCCCCCACAAAACTCAGATATCGTAGTTTCGTCAAAGTTACGAAATGCCTTTGGCACCGCATATTTAAATATTTAACACCACTAACGGTAGCCAGACAAATAAACAGAATAACGTAACATGGCGCAAAAGCGATAATAATTAAACAGATTAGTATTAAAATATAAAGTTAATCACGGTGATTGAATACGCTTAAATTCATAAGAAAATACATCGATCGGTTATTGTCGTTACTTTCCGGCAACACGGGAAAACAGATATTCAACCCAAACACTGCTAAACTTTGAGTCAAATTTACAGAAAAATATCGCAAGGCAGACATTACACTTGCCCTAGAGACAGAATGGTGGATATACTTCAATTATTGTCAAATGCACAACTGATCTCATATATACTCAGAAAAGATATATAAAATATTGTCACGGTCTCATGTGGAAATACATTTTTACCTAAATGACCCAACCCAAGAAAACTCTCGGTATTTTTACTAAAAATGAAAACCTTTGAAAACTTTTCATTTATTGTCCACAGAAGGCTAAGTAATCTAATTAAATAATTCGACTACAGAAGCCGAGGTAGTTTTCAAACGACACCAGGTCGCATAGGGGAGCACAACCCATAAACAGTGTGAACTATTCAATATTTTCTTAACAATCGTGACCTTAGTCAAAAAGTCAGCTGATTTGATATCACCCACAAAATTTGAATTTAATGTCATTGTATCTATGATGATTGTTTCGATCAATTTGGAACTGGAAACACCGTATGATATTGATATGTCAATCGGGACTGTGAATTAAAAACAAAAAAACCAACGACAACAAAAAAACAGCAAAAAAACAAACATACATGTCCGCAGAGAACGCATGCAGCATTGTACATTGTAGAAGCAATGTCAGTAAACTCAGTGCACATAGACAAAAATGCACTTTACTCCCAAGTAACAATACATATTGAAGTGAACTGTAATATTTTACCTAAAAGTCTACACCCACAATACGCATGGGCCCAAACCCACACCATATGTAATTTTTCATTAAAAATTGTACCCATCAATTGAGATCTAAAGCCAAGATTGTCACCACAAAATA